TCCCTTATATTGTATTCAGGCTACCTGCCTTGGGGTGGGTATAGCACTCACACCCTCAATCCCAGCACTAGACAATGAACCAATCACAAACTGTAGATTTAGCCACCTCAGCAAAGCCCACCCCCCATGACTGCATGAGACCTTGGGGGGACATCCATACACAAACCATTATAGAGGCTATTTTCAAAGGTGTTGTTTCCATACTTTCTCACTCAGTGACTTTGTTATTTATGTATAAGGATGCTATTGATTTCTGAGCATTGACTTTGTATCCAGCTACACTACTGAATCTGGTCATTAAATCTACAAGTGCTTTGGGGGTCTTCTATGGAAAGTATCATGTTATCCGCAAATGATAATTTAACTTCTTCCTTTCCTATCCTTATTCCTTTTATTTCTTTCTCTTGTGTAATTGCTCTGGTGACTGTTTCTAGAACTATATTGAATAAGAGTGGTGACAGTAGACATCCTTGTCTTGTTCCTGATTTTAAACCTAAAGATTTTAGTTTTTGTCCATTTAGTATGATGTTGGCAGTTGGTTTGGCATAGATGTAATTCTCTGTATCGTCTAGCAGCTGCTGAATTGATTTCTTGTGGTCTCTTCCTATTTCTAAGAAATCTTTCTTTTCACATTTGCTAGCCACAATGCTGTCTTCTACATCTGAGATTCTGTCTTCACCTTGGCTCATTATGCCGTGTATACTTTGAATGAATTTTTAATCTCCTGGATATCTGTTTCATGGATTCCATTTTTTTTTCCTATGTTGGGTTTCCATGGTTTCCATTGTTTTCCTAAGTTCTGCTATTTTTTTTATCTATATCTGTTCTACAGTCACTAAACCTATTTTTTATTGTGATCAACATTTCTGTAGTTATCTGAGAAATTATTTCTGGTTTGACTTTTTTTCTAGAGTGTTATTCATCTGCTTTGTTACTTCTGCTGTTACTACATCAGAGTCCAGGAGGGTGGCTTTTAGATTGTTCTACCTGATTGCCCCCTGGGTTTGCCTTTGGTGAACTGGATGTCTGGGGTTGCATCTTATTTAAGTGTCTTCTCATTTTTAAGAATTTAATTCCTGGGTTGATGCTTGTAAATTGCCTATGACAAGTAGCTTTACTGCTAGTATTTATAATCCTTAGGAAATGACGACTTCTCATAGACATTTTCCAGGTGTAGCTGCCTTTTGAGTTTTGAGTCTGTTGCAAGATCCTCCCTGTTCAATTTATTGGGGATGAAAAGTTGCTGCCTACTTGGCCCAACCCCTGGTTCTTAGCCCCTGGCCTGTAGTATTTTTATGAGTCTTAAGCATTCTCAGTCTTGGTATACCAGGAAGAACATCTGATTAGAACAATTATGTCACTTTAGCTAGAATGGTACAATCAGCAATAATAATACCATCAAACACAGCCTTAAAAATGACAAATTAAAGTAACTATTAATTTGCCACCTTTAACTGTATGAACTAGATATATGGTTACATAACAAAATATAAAATGAACCAGAAAATTATATGTAGTAAATAAGTCCTTAATATAATGATTTTACCCTCAGAGGAGAAAATTTAAAAGGGTTTTGGGGAAAATAGAAACAGAAGAAGAGGAAGAGATTAGAAGTAAGGCTGGAGGACAAAGGAAGGTCCCTCAAGCTTTGGGAAACTAAAGAGGAAGACAGGAGTGAAAGAAGGAAGAAATAATAACAAGAGCAAAACAAAACAGAACAACAAGAAAAAAGTAGAAAACATGTTCACACTCATATGAAAAGAACAAGCATTCAAGAAAAAAAAAAAAAAAAGAAAGAAAGAGAAAAAAAAGAAGAAAAAACGTCCACTTCAAGGTGCGGTCTCTGCTGTCAGTGGTAGAATATGGGCAGGCAGTGTCCAGATCTGAGTTGATTAGTCCCAGCAAGCCCGCTGTAGCCTCACCATGGGGTACTGGATAATGCCAGTGAGCGTGCACTCTTAGTCCCACTGAAGTTCAGGCTGGTTTCTGGCTGTGAAGCTGGAACCAGACCCATTCAGCCTGCGGTAGTCCATGCACCCCACCCACTCCAGCTCAAACTCTGCTCCCTGACTTCCTGCTGACTAGAACATGGCTCACTTATCCCGCCCAACACTGGGAGCTGCTAGATGGATCCAACTGTTGCTCTGAGTTTCAAGCTCAGCTGGCCCTTCTCCAAGATGGCTCCTGGCCATTTGCCCTCACCTGGGCAACATCTGAACCCGAATAACTCACCAGTCACTGCAATCTGTCCGGTCCACTGCTCCATTCCACTGGTGCTTTTCTCTGTGGAGGCCCCTGGGGGTGGGGTTGGCAATAGTCACTGTGTGTCTGCAGGTTCAAGCTGTCCCTCCCACACAGTCTGGGCTCACGAAGAAAGTGCCACCTGCCACTTTCTCCTCATTCATTGAAGTCTCTCTCTTCACTCTCCCTGTGGGCTTCAGTTCTCATTTGAGATCCTTCCTGGTTCCCAGGGCCTACTTCCCTCCTTCTCCTCCTCACATTGTTGTAATCCAGTGTCTGGACACCAAATCTCAGACAGGCTCTTTCTCTGCTGCTCACCACTCTGCCATCTTCCCAGAAGTCCTCTGTTGCTGTTGCAAGCCATGCATGATGTATGGGGTAATAGGATCCACGGCTCATAGTTCTTTAGTACCAAGATTTATGTTAATCTCACTAGGAAACGAATGCATTTAATGCTTGCTGTAGCTATACCTGACAGAAGTTGCAATTTCCTCTATTGACCTTACTTATGTCTCCTCTAGTGTCTATAGCTTTCCCTCAGTCCTTAAGATCTTCCTTAAGTACAGAGTATATAAACTTTTTTTTCTTTTTGTTTGTAGTACTGGGGATTTCATCCAGAGTCTTCACACTAGCTACATATCCAACCTTTTTTATGTTTTTAATGTTGGAACAGGGTGATGGTTATCACTAAGTTGCCCAGATTGGGCTAGAAATTGCAATCCTCCTGTCCCTGCCTCCTCTGCTGCAGAGATTACAGTCTTGCACTATCATGCTCAGCTTATGCTGCAGCTCTTTGAAGTCCTATACCTGGTCCCCTTTCAATGTGGTGGTGAGGTGCAGAGGTGAAGATGTGACTAAATCTCACCTTTACTGGACTGTGTTGTTCACCACTGTTTCTAGGTTTCTTCCCTGCAATTTTGGTGAGACTGGAAAGCTAGAAAGAGCTAGAGTTAAGTAACTCCCTTCTCTCATGTGGGCTAAGGCTCCGCTACAGATGTTCCCTTCTACTATGGAGAATGATCAAGATACATAAGTCCAAAATGGACATCTTTGGTCTCTTCCTGTCAGAAACATGAGACTTTTCTCATGGCTGTTCACTCAAGGGCTATACTTCAAAAACACGTATACAGATTTAATGCAATTCTGATCAAAATTCCAATAGCATATGTCACAGAATTAGAGAAAGAAATCTTAAAATTCATTTGGAACCAGAAGAGACCTAGAATAAATAGCAAAAGCAATTGTGGGCAACAAAGGCAAGGCAGGGGGCATCACAGTCCCTGCCTTGAAATTATAGTATAAAGCTACTGTGGTAAAAACAGCATGATACTAGCAAAAAAAAAAAAAAAGACCTGAGGATCAATGGAACAGACTAGAAGACTCAGAAACAACTCCAGATATATTTAGACATCTTATCATTTTTTTAAAGAGCAGAAAAGAGAGACAGAAGGGAGGCCTGAGTGGGTTGGTTTTTTTTACCATACTGAAGACATTGGTATAGGCAAAGACTTTATTTTTTTATTTTTGGTACTGAGAATCAAACTCAGGACCTTGTGCTTGCCAGGCAGGTACTTATACCACTGAGCTATATCCCCAGCCCTAAGACTTTATGAATAAAACCCTGATCTCACAGAAACTATCACAAAGAATCAACAACTGGGATCTCATCTTATTAAAGAACTATTGCACAGCAAGAGAAACCACCAACAAAGTAAAGAGACAGCCTACAGTATGGGAAAAATGTTTGCCAGTTGTTCCTCAGACAAAGGATTACTATTGAGAACATATAAAGAACTCAGAGAAAGCAACTTTAGGGAGACCTCAGGTTCATAGATTTTCTGTGCAGGGCCGTTATCAGGTCCTCACAGTGAAGAAGAATAGTCTGTCCTAACCCTGATCATGAGCGCCATTCCCACATCAGGTGTCCTTTGCAAAGCCTTCATTCCTGTTGAGCTATTAGGAGAGCATTACCAACCTCAGAGAGTATCTGAACAGAGCTGGAATATGAGCTCTGTCCCCAAAACACTGTCATCTGAGGGCCCACAGATGTGACTATCAGCTTCAGGCTGCATGTGCTCCTCGAGAAGAGGAGTTCTGACTGAGAACATCAGACAAACTCTTTGTCTCAGTTACTTTTTTCTCTTGTTGCTAAGACAAAATACCCAACACTCAAAGTTAAAGGAGGAAAAGTTCAGTTAGCTCACAATTTATAGTGGTTTCAGTCCATAATCAGCTGACTCAAAGACAGGGTGGCGTGGCAGAGGGCCACTGATGAAGAGAAACAGTTCATGGTGCTCACAAGATAGCAAAAGCTACAAAAGTGGGAGGGATACGTCTTTTTCTGTCCCTTATATAGTATGCAGGATACCTACTCTAGGCGGTGCAGCACTCACACCATTAATTCTAGTCAGAACTATGCCACACTCATCAGCAGATTTTTACTAATCACATATCCTGATCCCGGCACCACACACTGTAGATTCAGCTACCTCTAAAAAGCTACCCCCATGACTGCATGAGGCTTTGGGGGAACATTTAGACACCATCCATAACACTCTTCCACTGAGTTTTTCAAAGAAGGAGAAACAAAAAAAATACCGATCACCATTAAATAATGATAAACAGGATGAAAACATCTACAAGTTAAAATGGAAATTACCTTATTCTTGGATAACGAAAGTCTGAGCTTCCTAAAAAGAGGAGTAATAGAACCTTTTCCCAACCCTTTATTCTATTTTTCTTTGTTTGTTTGTTCTCAGCAACATGGGAGATCCAACAGGAGGAGGAGAGGTAGAACATTTCAAGGTAGGTTTCTTCCTACTTACCATGACCTCTCCAAGGATGATTCCTCTTATTCCTCTCATGAGCTCCCAAATCCATGACCTCTGAGGATGTCAGCTGCTAGAAAGGAGAGAAGCACAGGTAGGCAGTCACAGCTGAGGCACCTCTTAGAGTCCTGGCTATGCCACCAAGGCTATGGAGAAGTGATGGGCCTGGGCAGTGGGTGCTGCCTTACAGGTGACTGCGTGAGATGCCCAGGAAGAACACTTGGTTGCTTTGGAGTCAAATCTTCTGACTCCAGATATCGTGCAAAGTAATTTCTTCCTGGGTGCTCAGACTCACGTGACCTCTGCATTTCATAGGGTTGTTCTGAACTTTCCACTGGATTATATATGTGAAGGTACTTTATAAATAAAGCCATACTCACATGAACGTTCTTCATATCATCTTTGACCATTGTGTCTACCAGTTTTTGTGACTTTCTGAATTTAATATTGTGTATCCCAGAAAGAGATTCCTGCGTGATCTCTGTGATTTGTCTTGATTGCATATAACTTACTGTCTAACCATTCCAGGTAGGAGAATTTGCCAGAGAGAAGTAGACGAGGGGAGGAAGTTGCTTTCTGTTCTCAAAAGGTGGGTGCTCTTTTCATTTCTCCCCTGGTTCCTTTGTTCACACTTTCTATGCACCAAGGGATTGAGTGCAGCCTTTGCTAATCATAGGAGGGGTAGCTGTGCTGGTGGTGCCTGGTACATGGAGGAAGGCCTTGCACAGAAGCTGTGAAATGTTTCATAAAGTCATAGATGTGGGGCCCTGGGAAGTAGGGAGCAGGCAACAGTAGCCCCACCCCTAGGAGGACAGGAGGTCTTCCTTCCTTGTGCTGGTCCTGGATGGATCTTTGTACTTTCTGTCTCCTGCAGCCCCCTAGGCCAGCATTATGACACCACGCACTTTCGACAATTGCTGTGTCCAGACCCGCTGTGTGAGGTGTGTAACACAACCGCAGCTACGGTCAGGCGGCTGCTGTCTCTGGCAACCTTGGATGGTGCTGCAATCTCTTTGGCTTCCACAGGTTCGTCAACAGAGTCCTCATCTCCAGACACCTCCGGGCACTCTCACACCTGCTGAAGACACCAGGGTCAGAGACCTGACTCTCCTATATGAACAGAGATGCCTCTTCAGCCTTTTACAACGGAAAAAATGCCTACAAAAGAAAATCCAGTCCAAGAGCCGTCAGCACAGCCAGTAACACTGACAGGAGTAGCTCTTGTGATAGGAATAAAGTCTCTAGAGCAAAATAAAAAACGAATCTTCCTTCTGAGAGTGAGAGCTGGGCTCTCTGTGTCCTGCACAGGAGGTGTCATTTTTGGGAATCCCAAATATGTTTTTAAGGAACAGAAGGATTTACTTTAGTTCTCAAGGCTGTTTACCTTATTTTGCTGCTAAAACATGACCAGTTCCTCGTAGGGAGCTCGACAATGATCTTCTCAGCCTTATTTTCACCATTCTCAGACGCTCTTCATTTAAAACATTTTATATTTTCATAAAAGTTTTTTTTCAGTCTAAAAGCTCTCAAGCCTCTTCAAAATTAGAAAAATTTGTAAAATCTAGAACTCAGCTGAGATGTCATTCATTTAAAACGTTATTTTTTCATAAAGTTTTTTTTATCAATTTTTATTCTTACTAGCATATTTGCTGTATATAATGATTACATCCCTTGTGGGGAGCTGGCATAAATGTACATAACACCTCTTAATTATTTTTTATTCCCTTCCATCTTACTCCCTTCCCTTCATTTCTTAGTCCTTTCCAGCTGAAAAAAGATCTGTCTCCCTAGTTCCTTACTTTCTATCTTTTACTTTGCTCCTTATTTATATTTTGTGTTTCTTGTATTAGAGAAATAGTGTGATACTGAAGCTTGTATGTCTGATTTATTTCACTTAAAATTATGTCGCAAAGGTGCATCCATTTTCCCACATATACTCGAGTTTCTCCTTCCTTATAGCGGAGTAGTGCTCCATTGTGTACTCCACATCTTTGTTATCCACTTATCTGTTGAGGGACATTTATGCCAATTTCCAAGATTTAGCTCTTGTGAATCGTGCTGCTGTAGACATGGGTATGCACAGATCACTGTAATATGGTGTCCTTCTTTCAGGAAGATGGCCATAAGGGGAATAGGTGGCTCAAATAAAGTTTCTAGTTTAGATTTTTTGAGGACTCTCCATAGTGGTTGTACTATTTTACATTCCCACCAACAGTGTAGAAGGGTTCCTTTTTCCTTACATCCTTGCCAGTATTTATTATTTGAGTTTTTTTAATGATAGCCATTCTTCCTGGAATAAGATGGGATCTCAGTGTTGTTTTAATTTGCAATTCTCTCATGCCAAGAGATGTTGAATATTTTTTCATTTATTTATTGGCCACTTATATTTCTTCTGAGTAGTATGTATTCATTTCTGTTGCTCATTTTTAATATATATATATCAAAAAACATATCTATATATCTATAACATATATATGTATAGAGAGAGAGCGTGCAAGAGAGAGTAGATAAATAGGAAGTAGGGAGAAGTTCAAGTAATTTCCCAAATTATCTATTCCATTGTTTTAAAAATATGTTAGGATATATGCTAATTTGTTTCACTTATATTACTGGTTTCTTTGTGTTCATTGAAAAGAAGTATCTGTCCTTTTATTTGTTTGTTTCTTCTTTGTGAGAGGGGTACTTAAAATTTGTGCTCTAACATTTTGCCCATTCTTTTAAGATCTTGATACACAGTATACTAATCATTGTTAGTCTCTAATTATTTTGCAAAGTTCTTTTCATAGAAGTGTTTTTGTATACTTTATTGGTATCTACTCATGTTACATCAAAAGAATTTAAAGCATACTCTGTAAATAATGATAGCTAAGCCCCCATCCCGCTACTGCTTCAAGCATCTCACAGCTGAGTGAATACTCAGAAGGTTGCAGAGGGAATAGTTCTGTTACTGTGGACAGGGAGGGGCTGAGGCAGGATCCAGGACCTGGATGAGTGCTGTTGAAAAATCTGTTACGTGAGGCATGTTGCGCCATCTGCAAAACCTGCTGTCGGTTTGACTATGACATCTCCTTGTGTGTTAGGGCCCCTTTAGGAAGAGAAAGAGCCCTTCCTCAGGGAGCCACTTTGGGATGACCGGCTCAATAGCACTATTGCAAGCACCAGGGATCACTTGGCAATCAGTAGTAGCAATGGTGAGGTAGGTGCCCAGAATTTATGGAAAAAAATGAGAAAGGAAGTAAGGAAACCAAAAGGATCAAGTCAGCGAGCTAGGTACAAAAATGTTATTCCTACCCATGATTCCATCCAGTCCTTTCTTCCGCCCAGCACTCCTTCACTTAGTCCAACTTCCTGGAGTATAACATGGACTTTTTTTTTTTTTTTTTTGGTTTTTCTCCGGTACCGGGAACCAAACTCACGACCTTGTGCTTGCCAGGCAGG